AATTAATTCAAAGGTCTATGGTGAGATTGCTTAGCCATATGGCCACTAATGAAGTCTGTAACTGCTAAGATTTCAGCATCCCAATAAGAAGGCAAAAATAGAAAATTTCTGCTGTATTGTCATTTCTTTAAGACATTTTCAAAACTTAGAGTAAGCTTGGAAAATAGTTTCTACCTTGGAAATATTCCTTTTACCCCAAGGATCATTGAAAACTTGTAACTACAAACCTTTAAAAGAGAGTGTAAGTATTACAACTCATGTTGTCAGATGAATAAAAAAATCAAAATGCAACATTCATAATTTAGCATACAAAATATATGCCAACATGGATTTCATAATGAATATAATTAATTTATTCATCTATCTAAGACATATTAATTAGCATGTGTAATGTGCCAGGAACTCTTCTAAACATTGGAGAGATAGATGATTTTTCTAAACAATAAGCCTTGTCTTCATGGAATCTGTATTCTACTCTGGAAGATAGACAGTAAACTGGTTTTTGAAACTAAGAAGTAGGTGAAATAGTAAAAAATTTGGAAAATGGGAGAAGAAAGTGATATGAACAATGGATGCCCATGAAAAATGAGAGTACAAAGTTTGCACTCTATATTGAGAGAAGACTTCAAGAAAGGAGAGCAGACTTGAGTTGGGTGGGATTTCCTCTTGAGAAGGACCTGGAAACAGCAATGGGAAGTTCCTGGGGAAACACTACAGCAGGATTCAGTCTGTGTCCCAGATAACATGACAAGATTGCAGTGTGACTCCTGATGAGAAAGGAGGAACAAACCCCTTGAGTAGAACCTGAAAGGTCAGAGCAAGAGGCAGATCACAGCAAGACTGTGGCCTCATGCAGAAGAGAGACCTTGGGGATCTAGCAAGTGACTGTAACATGGCTATATATCATGTTTCCACAGAATGGCAAAACTGTTCTTGTAAGTAATAAAATCAGAACACAGACAAATTAGGACTTCTTATAAGCAAGTGAGAGATGCTAGAAACTTCTCCAAAGCAACATCAACTTCAATGAGGAAAGTGGTCAACTCTGCAATGCATAGGACTCCCCAAATGTCCATAGTCATGAGCATGGTTCTAGTGGAGAAAACTAAAACTCAAAAATGTCTTTACCTTCACTTTATCAAACATGACTGAAGAAAGATAATGCTAAATCTACCCAACCTTTATTTCTCTTATCTTATTTTTCTCATTCTTAGTAAAGACATATTTCTGATGTTCATCATTCAATATTATTATATAATGACATTTGTCAATGAAAATTTTGTTTATGTTCAAGTTTAGCACTTAATAACAGTAAGAAAATGTCCAACCAACTTAAAATGTCTACTTTGTAATGAATAAGAACACAAAAAAAAGTTCAAAATGCTGGGACTGGTGGCATAGACAAGTAGCATCAACCATTTGGGAGACTGAGATAGAAAAAATCTCAGGTTCAAGACTGGCCTGAGGGACAGAGTAAGTTCAAGGCCAGCCTGGGTGACTTAGTGAGGCCATGTCTGCAAACTATAGAAGTAAAACAAGACTGGGGATATAACTTAGTGGTAGGATATGACTTAGCAGCCATGCAAATTGCCATACATTCAAGCCTCAGTACCACAGTTGAAAATAAAAGTTCAGTGAAAGCTTAACCTATTATCATGTTAAAGAAGGTGCTTGGAGGAAAAACACTGTGAAACTGGTTATTGCTCTTAGTTCTAGAGAAGGAGAACTTGACTGTTGGCTGTCTGGAAATGGAGCCATAAAGGGCCAGAGCAGGGGCTCCAGTGTTTCTAAGGGTTTGAGAACTGACACTATCCTCACTATTCTTTGTAGGGAAAAGGGGCTAAAGAAACCCACCCTGACCCTGGAGCCCAGAATTAGGGCTGTGTTTCTTTCCTTTCTGGTGTCCTGCTCTGTGATTGGTTGATTTCACAGGTCAGTTGGACAGGAGCAGAAATGGCTCTGATCTGAGCTAAACTGTGTGTTTCTCTCACTGGACTTACTTAGCTTTTTGACACTACCTCTCAGGCCAGGATACATTTCATTCACTGACTCTGATTCTAGGGGCCAAGAGTGTTTCTTTGGTACTGGTTTCAGAGTCAGGGCACGTTTCCTTGGTTCATTTCTCTGGCTCAGGTCCCAAATACAGGCTGTGTTTCTTTCCCTGGTTCTGGGCCCTGGGGCCAGGATTCTGTTGTCCTGCTCTGTGATTGGTTCATTTCACAAGTCAGTTGGACAGGGGCAGAGATGGCTCTGATCTGAGCCAAACTGTGTTTCTTTCATTGGCCTTATCTGAGCCATCCTTCCCTAATTTTGGGCTCCAGGGTCAGGGTGTGTTTCTTTAGCCAGCCCCTTTTCCCTACATTCTTGCTTCCCAGAGGTGAACTTTTTGATTCAGTGATTGTTCAAACACCCAGTACTTGTACTTTACACCTCAGTGTTTGTGATATTGAGAGAACATTAAGTTTCATTTTCTGATTTGAAAGAACAAATACATGTGATCAACAAGGATCCTGCAGTACACAGCCACTCCCCGAAGGCTGATTCTGCAAGTCTGCATGCTTTTTCACCCTGAAACCTCTTCATCATTACTGCCCTTGAGCTCTGTTTAAGGTCATGTATCAAAAACAGAGAATCAAGTAGATGCTTCTTCCACTTTGAAAGCTTCATCATTTTCTTCAACGAAAACTGGTTTATTTCCTCTCTACTATCACCACGTCTCCTATTTCTCTTATTTCTCTCTTTGGCCTGGTCCCCATGGTTAGCTTTTCTGTCCTCTCCATAGTTTCTAACATAGCCATTAGACTCCAGACTTTCTGTCCTCCAGCTTCCAGAACAATGGCATATGAATCTTCCTTGAATTTATTTCATATCCAATGAGCCTGTGTTTATTACTAGACCTAGCCAAAAATGAATGCCAATTCTCCAAACACTTAGCACTGTGGCATTGTTAATTCTATTGGTGCCAATAGTATTAAATTAACTTAGCGATGTTTCTGGAGAAGAGCCTTGGTACAGAAAGCCAAATTATTAGCATTCTAAAATGGTAAAAACATTTAAAAATAAGAATAAAGTGAAACAGTCTTTGATCACCAATGGTAAAAGGAGTAGAGACAACAGATAAAATAGAAAACCATATTTCACTACATGGATGCTAAATAGTTAGAATCTAGATTTCACCTCTCTTAATTACTTTTCCCTTTCTGTGATGAGACAACATGACCAAGGCAACTTACAGAAGAAAGAGTTCATTGGGGCTTACAGTTATAGAGGGTGAGTCCATGACCATCATGATGAGGAGCATGGAGGCAAGGAGGCAGGCAGGCACTGGAGCAGTAGGTAAGAGCTTACATCTTGAGATACAACTACAAGACAGAGTGGGGAGGGAGGGAGGGAGGGAGGGAAGGAGAGCGTTCACTGAGAGTGATGTGGGCTTTAAAAGCCTCAAAGCCCAGCCACCTCCAGTGACATACCTCCTCCAACAAGGCCACACTTCCTAATCTACCCAAAACAGTTCCACAAACTAGGGACCAAGTATTCAAAATACATGACCCAATGTGCATCATTCTCATTCAGTCCACATTTCTCAAAGATTTGTGTGTTGCATTCTTAGTCATGAGCTGATGGCACTATATGGAAAGGTCATGGAAGCTAGCAGAAGTAGGACCTACCTGGCAGAAGTCAGTCGCTAAGGGTCTTCATTGGTGACCTGCCTGCAAGATATGCTGGTGCAAGCATTGTGAGAGTAACCAACTACTTGTTGTAGGAGGTATGGCCCCTAGGAGTGGGCTTTGAGGTTTGAAAAGCCTACTCCAGGTAAGCTCTCTGTCTCTGTCTGTTTCTGTTTGTCTGTCTGTCTCTGTCTCTGTGTCTTGTTGCTGTGTCTATGTGTGTCTGTGTGTGTGTGTGTCTGCCTGCAGATCAAGATGTAAAGCTCTCAGCTACTTCTCCAACACCATGCCTGCTCTCCTACCTGCCATCATGCTCCCTGCTATGTGAACAAACTAACCCTCTGAAACTGCAAGCAAGCCCCCAGCTAACTGCCTTCTTTTGTAAGAGTTGCCTTGGTCATGGTGTTTCTTCACAGTGATAGAACAGTAACTAAAACACCCATAGTTCAGTTCCTTGCCCGGCCATTATCAGTGAAGCTTCCTCTTGTAGTAGATAAAAACTAACACAGAGATCCACAATGGGACAATGTATACAGAATGGGCAGAGAATGAGAGATTTTGGAACACTCAGTCCTGAATGGGATGTCCTCATCAAGCTCTATGAGATCTTCATCAGGGATCTATGTGGAAGAAGAGGCAGAAAGATTGTAAGAACTGGAGGGGATTGATGATTCCAAGAAAACCGTGTCTTCCAGACACAACAAGATTGATGCACATATAAACTCATATACTGTGGAAGCATGCACAGGTTCAAGACAGATGGGAGTCCCAGCACTGGGAGGGGGAATGGACATGAGCTTGTGCCCCTAACCAAGAACTTATATCCAATTAACATCCACTTGCAAAGAAAAAATTAGTTTTCCCCAACAGAGTTTCACTGGGTATATGAACCACAATAAAAGTAGGCTCTATGCCCAGAAGTAGATGGCCAATATAAAATTATCTCAGTGATATTTTTTGAGACATTTTAATCTCATATTACTTTATTTGGGTTTTTTTTGTCTTTTGTCTTTATAATATGTTTTCCAATTTTATGGGGTTTTTTTTTTTTTTTGTGTGTGTGTGTGTGTGTTTCTTGTGGTTTTTTAATTCTGGTTTGTTTGTTTCCATGTTTATTTTTTAAAGAATGAAAGAGCATAGAGTTGGATGGGTGTGGAGGATGTGGGGGGAGTTGGGGCAGGAGAAAGTTTTGATATTTTATCAGAATTTATTGTATGAAAATATTTTTCTTTTCTTTATTGTATTGATTATTTGAGAATTTCACATCACGCACCCCAATCCCACTCATCTCCCTGTCCCTCCATCACTGCCACTCCCTCTTGTAGTGTACGCTCCCAACCGAAAGCTAAAAAAATAAAAATAATACAATAATGAACAATAATAAAAACAGAACAAAGAAAAACACTTCATGCCTCCTTCTTTCCTGCTTCTCCATAGTGTCTTCATTCATTTTAGCGGCTTTGGGGACTGCTGTGTATCAATCAGTATACCCTTTTGTCCAAACAGCTTTGTTTGAACATACTTGCCAATGTTTATTCTGGAATGAGTTGTCAGTCAGGTTCAAGGCCTCTGGCTTTGGTATACCATCAGTACTGGACCCCCACTGACATTCAGCTCTGATATCCTGCTGTTGCCCCAAGTCACAGAAACCCTGTGGCTATGGTTCTTCATACACTCCAGTCCTTTTGCACACTCCAAAAGGTCATAGATGGGGTAGATGTTGGTGTGTGCCTACTCCAAGTTCCAGCTGAGTTGGTCAGTCCAGGCCACTGGGACCACTCCTTTCAGGTGAGGGGTTCCTCCCCCCTCCTGTTCCCCCCCCAAGTCCTATGGTGAGGGATGGTGCAAGCTATCCTGCATGTGGGGTCCAGCTCTCCTAATAGAGGGTGGGGCCATCTTTCCCTTGCCTGAGTCATCAGGGTCATTATCCAAGGGCCAGTGGGAGGCATACTCAATTCTTCTGTGAGGGGCAGACAGTCATTCCAGGTGAGTGAGGGATGGGGCCAGTTCAGCAGGGCCCTTTTACTTCAATACATACATGGAAACAAGGGCAATGGACATTCATACAGAACCCAGCTACAGCAGAAGCATGGACCCAGATGTGATCAGCAGCAGTAGCTTGGGCCAAATGTCACCATGGCCCAAGGTGGCAGCTCAGACCTCTTAGATCCAGATGGGCCCAGCAGCAGCATGTTCTGGGGCTCTAACCTGGCCTCTTGTGGTGGTTCAGACCCTGGGCATTTGCATGGCTCCCGGTGGCAACAGGAGCTATGAAAAAAATATTTTAAATAAAAATAATAATACTATTTACAATGTAGAGATCAAAGCAATATGAGATCATCATATTTGTGTGAATAATGGGCAAATCCTATATGTCATTGAGAAACTTTGGATTTATTCTTAAGATGTAACTTCCTAATAGAGATCTATAATAACACAAGACTATATAATATATTGTAACTTTAGTAGAGTAAGAATACTTCGATGAAAGCATATTGTGCTTGTTAGAGGGAAAGTATAGACTTTTGAAAAGACAAGTTTTAGTTTGCTGTATGATTATATGACTTAATTGTGACTTCATGGGAATAAAAAAATGTGTAGATAATTTCAATTGTTGCATTATTATATTACTTAAACCATTTGCAACCACTGTCCAAACATGACAAGAATAGGAAGAGCTGAAAGAAGCAGTAATGGTTTCTCCGAGTAAATGTTACTGTATCTCACAATAGAATAAATACACAGTTCTTTCTAAAGTTTTGTCATAGAAGTATCCATGTCATTGGACAACTGCATTCTGACCTAAGGGATACTTATCCACCCAGTATCAAATGATGCCAAGGAAAGATATTCATACAAGTAATTGCTACCCTTATCTATACATGCTGTATCATTTATCATCTTAAACGGGATGTGCTTCTTTTTAAACACTTCTTAAGCAAGCATTATTAGAAAGCAGTTCTCTCCTGGATGCTATGAGAGATGAGAAATAAATGCAATGTTTGGAGATCATACCAAAGTAAAGCAGCTGGGGTAGATATGCAAATGTGTATACATGTGAGGTAGAGTGAAGTATCGTGAATGGGAAGGAAATTCAGTGTCAAGAAAGCACAAGGGAGAATTTACTTTCAGCCAAAGGAATCAAAGAAGGCTCAGACAGGTAGCATCTGAGTCGAGCTTGAAAATTGACTTTGAAATCTATCAAATGCTTTTAGCAATTTAACTGAGATTAAAGTATTATCTGTCTCTTTTGATCAATCTATGTAACTTATGTTAATAATTCCATGGTAACAATCTATCCTTACACCTGCCCAAGAAAATGCACTTTTTTTTTCAGAAACATGATGCTGTGTTCAATTTGCATTTAGTTTGTTTGCCATCAAAATGTTTATTATTGCAAACTTACTCATACATATTTTACACCTTTCTATGTATCATTTACTTTCCCTACAGAGATGAACTAAACATGTAAAATTTGTTTTTACTAGAATTTACAGTGTAGAGATCATAGCCATGTGAGCCCATCTTCATTCTGCATATTACTAAGCATATTCTATATAACGAGGGGTCACTTACCATCAGGTTAACAGAAAATGGATCCCTTAACATTTTGTTCTCTTCACTCTATTGAAAGAAGTCTTAAGGGGATCTTCAGTTCTTAGAAAACTGTCAAGTGCTGGGTTCACACTTAGAAAGTAATTCTGTGGTGGCTTTTTCAGTTCTCTCTATCATACAAATACACCAAAGTCTTTATTCACATTTATTAGCTTTTTCAAGATAAATGTAGTAATTAGCATTTACAAAAATATGAATTTTATTTTGTTTAGATTTTAAAATGTGCTTTTATAGAGTTTCATAGTTTTTCTCCCCATTACAGATGTCTTTTGTCAATAAACCATTGTTCTCTCTAATTTCACTAGATTTTTTTTCTTACTTGTGTATTTTATATTTCTTGGTTAATTTTCACCACTAGGGCTGGTGCTTCAAATGAATAAAATTAGGAGACAGAAAAGCAATGGAAAAACTATATTAACTGCCTAGAATAAAGATAGAGGGTAGAAGAGAGAGACAAGCAGCAAACTTTTCAGCAAGTGAAATATTTAATAGCAGTAAGGGAACAAAAAAAGGACAGAATTCTCTGAAAGATAAACAATATTGTGTGTCTTGATAACATAATAATCACCTTTAAAGTGCTACTTTACTAGCTCAGCCCACATGTGCATTGTATTGTAATAGATAGACACATTTATCAAAATGAATGTTTTCAAATATAGGCCTATATTTATCTAGAAAAATAGCTACACTGATAATCAGGAATTGTGCACTAACTATGGCACGAGTTGAGCGAGGCTGTGCTGAGTGTTTAATTCCCCTCCTCTCGTTCATCCTGTATGAGGCAGGGATGATGTTTGTCCTATAACTAGCCATCAAGACTATCTCAACAATAAATAAGGAAATACAAGAAACACGTCAGTCTTGTAAAAATTTAACGCCAAATAAGAAAAGTTTGAAGCCTTTAAGACTCATTTAAAAACATACTGTGCCAATCAATTTGTGTCACTAACAGAATATCTACTGAATGTTTTAATTTCAGTGATTATAGGCAAACTAGTTGAAATGTAGGCTATTTAAAATGGAATGGAACCTCAGTAAGGAGCAGGTCCAAGCAGCACTGTGGTCCTTCGCTTCAGTTGGCACCTGGCAAAATTAGGTGCAGGGACTGTCTACGTATTGAAATAAGCACAGCCATTCCATAAAGAGGCTTCCATTATTTATATTGTTGGTCCTCTCCTCATCTCTCGGAAAGCACAAGTACAATGAGATCCTGGAACAAATGAGCTTATTAAGATCATGCTTAGACATATCGTTTTTCAAATCACACTCTACAAGACAGATATGCTGGCAAAGCTGTAATAAATGTCAAGGCTCAAGGCATCCACCATTCTTTTCAGCTGCCGGTGGCTTGGCTAGAAAAGCTTTCCATAAATTTTAGCGCACACCTGTCAAATGGCAGGTGTGATAGTCTGCTATCACAGAGGAGCCTGAGCTGTGATTTCTGGGCCGGCAGCACTGTCATCGTTTTCAGAGCAATCCTGTGCTTTTCTCTGTTTGTGACCAGAGAAATCCCTGTGATCACACTGGGACTCCGCACATCCTGGCAGATCTGCCAGTGGTACTCAACACATCGAGAATTATTTTAGATTGCATGCCATGAGGTGTTACTTCCCATTTGCTAACACAATGGGGTTTCAGGACCATGACAACTGGAACACATTCATTTGTATATAAGATTTGTCCTTGTTGTGGGTACAGAAAGGTGATCTATCTTCCCTAGACCCCTTCCGTCTTCCACCAATCCTCTACCTGGAAATGCTGCAATGTCAATCATGTGGTGTGTTTTCTTACACAGAAAACAGAGGAAGGGAGCCTTTATTTTGTTTCAGTGAACTTAACTTGAAGGCTATAAATAAACTTATTTGAAATAAAATTGTTTCCTATATGCACATGTGTGTATGCTTAGAACATTCATGAAGGAAAACTAAACTATTCAAGATGGCACTCAAGAGAAAAGAATATTTAGATAAGTGAGTCAAAGTTCTTCCATTCTCTTCTCTGTATATTATGGTAATGCTTTGATCTCTAAGATGATAACATAGTTACATTTTCTTTGTGTAATAAAAAGGGAAATTTTAAACCAAGAAGCCTAAATATTAATGTCAAAAAGAGAGCAGGATGCTGAAGAGGATACCATGATGAATAGCACTATATAGTTAAATAATGTGTGCTTTCATACACATTTTATACCCAAATCTCATAGAAACTGGACAGGGTGATTAGATCAGATATTTGCATACAATTTGCATAGGCAAATCTGAAATTCAATGAAGTTCAGTGATGTGCTAAAATTTCTTGTTAAGTTTCTAAATGAAGATTATGACCTGGGTCCTCAGACACCAAATTGAAACTCAGGCTCCCCCAAGCTCCTGTCAACACTGCTTTCTGCTTTGAAAGTAACAATGGATTTTATTTTCTGTTTGTAAATTTTTCATACATTTGTGCAACATGTCTATATTTCAAACTACCAATAGCTAGGGTTTTATATGAATAAAATAGACCAATTACTTTGTGGAACTGTTCAGTCATAAACAGAAATTTAGATTCTGGAACATAAACAGAAATTCTATTACTAAGCTTCCCATTGAAGAAGAAATAACTGTAATTATGTTTAGCACAATAACTTTTTTTTTTCCAAAATCATGGCAAGTGCCATGCCTCTGGCTTGTCAAGTAATGGATGTCTGCCATCTGAATGTCATTTAACTACAATTGCAATGTGGAAATATTAGTTTCTAGTATGGTCTAATTTATGGAATTAATAACAAATCAGCAGTTATGTACAGGCACATTTAAAAAATATCTTTACTCAAAAAACCAATAATTACTCAGTGAAACATTAGCATGAGAATTTCAGTACTACTCACCTTTCCAGTCCTTTGCTGGGATGTCTCTGCTTTGCTCTGATCACACCATAATTCCCAATTATCTTCCTTCCTTTCAAATTGATTCTGTAAAAATGTTTTCAAGAAAAGGATGTTGAAAGGGGTCTCTAACCTCACATTTACACCTACAGTTATGGAACTTAAACAGTAACATCCTCGTATCTCCGTATTAGAGTACCATGTACCTGCACAGAAAATGTTAGGTCATCTCAAATCCACATGTGGAATCATAGCTGTTGGCAGTACTGGTCCTTAAACCTGTGTTCCTAGCACTCTTTGGAACTAGATGGAAATTCTAGTAAACATTACAGGTAATTAAAAACTTGAAACAGTGTTAAGCACTAGCAATCACAGCCACTAAACAGTGGGGTCTCACATACCTGGCAGAAGCACTTCTCTGCCTATGGCTTTCTCATTGTCTGCCCCTCTGAACTGAATCACAAGGCAAACTGCAAGCAAATCCTTGATCTCCCCCTACTCCTGTGGCTGTTCCTTGTGCCTCTTAAAGAAACATCAACTTAGACAATTTTTAGGGCATGTTCCCTTCAGCACTCTGACCTCCACTAAACTCATCATTAACTGATGTAAATGTAATGTTACATCTTGTGGTTTTTGGAAGCAAAGATGTGAAGGTACATAGGGTGTCATAATTACTGTTTTATTGCTATGAAGAGACACCACAACCGAGGCAACTTGTAGATGGAAGCATTCATTTGGGGTTTGCTTAGAGTTTCCAAGGATTAGTAAGTTAACATCATGTGGGTTCATAGGCTCCCAGCAGGCAGGCATGGTACTGGAGAAGTAGCAGAAAGCTTTAAAGCCTCAATTGCAGGCAGAGAGAGAGAGGGGGGAGGGAGGGAGGGAGAGGGAGAGGGAGAGGGAGAGGGAGAGGGAGAGAGGGGGAGGGGGAGGGGGAGGGGGAGACTGAGCCTGGCATGGGCTTTTGAAATCTCAAAGCTCACCCTCCAGTGACACACTTACTCCAACAAGGCCACAGTTACTCCAACAAGGCTATACCTCCTAATCCTTCCCAAACAGTTCCACTAAGTGGGGACCAAGCATTCAAACATATGAGCTTATGGGGGCATTCTCATTCAAAACACCACATGGGAGAGCTCATCACAAAACCCTCTGAGAAGCTGTCTCCTTCCTTCCCAGGTATGTCCACTGCTAAGTCTAGCCCAGTGATACTTGGGAGTGCCTAGTCTCTTCCTATGAGTGCTGGTTGACAGGAATGTCCTCTCCTGGCCATGACTGAAATTTCTTTTTGCTGTACCTTCTCCTAATGTGCTCAGATTTTCACCACGGTTTCCCATCTAGGGCCTCCTTTACCCACTAACTAGAGGAGTAGAGGAGCACAGTTTTCTGTTTCTGGCATCTTAGAGGCAAGAGATATAAAGTTACCATCACATTGAGGACGCAATTTCCATTTTGATATTTGCTTTTTTCCAACTTGTTTCTTAGAAATACTTATTCACTAAGTGCTAGATAATCTTAAAGCTTTACATTAATTAAATCATTTAATCTGAAAAATAACTGTAAGAGACAAGTACTGCAGTTACCCACATGTTATACACAAGACAACTGAGGCCACAGATAATCTATTGAACTTGGCCAATAACAACAGAGTTAGCATCATCAAGCGTTGGCATTTGTGGGATGCTATTTCCTTCACTGGATTCTCTGTCCATCTGTTCTTACCTAAAATGCTGAAGTTCAGACATCTTCCCAGGACAAACATTCAATGTAGAGAAATGCATTTTATAAATCATCTTTCACCTGTCCTAAGAAAACAGCAATCCAACCAATCCCAGCTGGTCTTCTTAGCACTTTGCAAGAAAATTCCTGCTCTTTATACACATGGGCCTTTCTTCCTTTCTCTCTTTCTTTCTTTCTTTCTTTCTTTCTTTCTTTCTTTCTTTCTTTCTTTCTTTCTTTTCTTTTTTTTTAGGTTCGGTCAATATCAGTTTATTTGGTTTTTTTTTCTTCTTTTATTTTATTTTACAATACCATATAGTTCTACATATCAGCCACGGATTCCCTTGTTCTCCCCCCCTCCTGACCCCCTCCCCTTCCCCCCAGCCCACCCCCCATTCCCACCTCCTGCAGGGGGCCTTTCTTTTTCATAGCTACCAAAGATGTCATCTGACAAAGGGTAAAAGGAGATTGTGAACAGGACAGTGAGGTATTCATCATGACTCAACCCCCTGATTGTTGGTGTCAAGGGAGGTGCTGTGGAAGTTCTGATAACCAACTCAATGGCTTGTTTCCACCAGGGACTGAACAGCTAAACCTGGGTCTTTGCCTCCTCCCCTGGCTTTTCCATAGGCTGTTTCCCAGGCCCTGCTCTAGGTCAGAGCAAAGAAAATACTGGTGGTAAAATCTCATTCCTAAGGGATCTCAGTTGGTTCCATTTCAACAGTCTCTGTCATGGACTCCATGGAGTATCTCTATGTTCATATTTTAACTTGCCATCGTTTCACATTCCAATTTTAAGTTGCATGAATCATTCTAGCATCCTCTCTAACTGATATGCTGATGGCCTAGAAAACAATCACATTTTACCAAACCAAACTGTCGATCAAAATTTGTAAGTATGTGAATGAAGCAAAGGCAACTATCAATCCAAAGGAAATGCTCATTAGATTCTGGCAGGGAAATCATTAATACTTGAATCATTTCAGGGAAAGTAATCAGGTTCCTGATTAATGCAAACAGTGTGTGCAATCCTGAATGAAATGGGGTTTTCCTGATCCAGCTTTTCGCTCTTCTCTAAGGTAAGGAGAAAGGGACCTATAAATAGCTTCATCACTGTAGTCTCCAGAGCTGAGGAATTTGTTCGGGTGACTCTCAGCTCACCGGGTTCATTTCTCTGATCTTTTGCAACAAAGGCTGAGATCGATGATTACATTTTAAAAATTTCTAAGGGGTTGTTGCATTCAATTTAACCTGAGACTGTAGTTTTTACTTAAGAAGGCATGGGGTAATTTTTTAAAAATATAAAACCAGCCATTGTTTTAACTGATGAATTGCAAACATGCTTACATTACCCTAACTACAAGCCCAGTCAGCCATCCACTGTCGTAGTTCTTCCTCTTTCATGGAGGTTAAGCATCCTAGTCATGTGCCTTAAGTGTTGGGGTCCACAGAGGTTTCCTAGTGAGATCTGAGATTGCTTTACACAGCAGGCCTACATAAGGGGATGGATTGACCATGTGCGTGGTTACCAGGTGTTTGGGAGGGGTCCGCACTTGGCTGTGCCTGAGGTGTGCTTTGATCTAGTGGGGGGGGGGGTCTTTTGCTCCATCCCTTGGCATTCCTTTAAAAGCCCTTTAGCAGAGACAGAAGGGGCTGGTGGGTTTTGACCCAAGCCCTCCTAAGGCTATCCTGTGTTTCTATCTGTTTCTCTCCCCTCTATATTTCTATCTCAATATTTCTCCTTCTCCCTACTCAAGAGTACCCTGGGGGGAAAGTGGGAGCAAGTCTCCCACACTTAAGGTCTTGGTTCAATTTCCATTTGACTGGGCTTATAAGAAAACACTATGGAAATCTGTATTACAGACTGCAAGGTGTGTTACTTATCAGGTACAAAAAGACAAAACTGGGCGGGGGTCCTACCACAGAGTAAACCAAATGACACAGTAAGTGAGTCAGTGTGTGAAGTTTTATCACTACCATCATTTACCCTGTGGCAGAAAGAACTGTGTTAATGGGATCGTGCTTTCACAGATTAATTTTCATTAATATGTGAGGTAGATGTTACAATATTGCCATCTTAGCGAATACGGGGGGTGCGGGGAGCGGGGGAGCTTAGAAAGAGTGAGCCGGCTCAGTCTTCAGACCAGTCATTCAGCCACTCAGCTGTCTCATTAGGACAGGAGCTCTATCCAAAGCCTGGACAGGCTACTGTCAGGGTTGATGTGCTAACTCAGTATAAGCCATGACTCTCTCTCTCTCACCACATGAAGGGAGCCTTTGGGTTAAATAATACATCTAGTCCTTATTTCTTCATTGTGACAGGTTACAGTACATTTACATAACACACACGATCTATTCTCTTTTAAATAAAGGGAATGTTTTATAGTATATCCGTAATTTCTTCATCTGTTCATATATTAGCACATCCTATTTCATGATGTGGATAAATTTACCTAGATCTAAGTATAATTATGCTAGAGAACACTGTGATGTCCCCATAGTTTGATCTGGCCAAAAAATGTTTCTATAAGCAGCTTTTGTTAATGCATTTATTTGTGTACATGTGTACATATACACACAGAAGCATATCTACATTTGTGTATGCATAGGTATATGTAAAGAAAGAGAATCAGAAAGTGGAAGCAGTCACTGGACAGAAGCCCCACTGACAGATGGCAAAAGAAGGAAGGCTGGCCAAGTAGACAGACAGAAATAAGCACAACCTGCTGTGAGCTGTTTCATTGTTCCCGCATCCACTGGCAGGACAGGAGAGCATCCACCTCACTCTCTCCTCTCCTGACCCTCATCCACTGGCAGGACAGGAGAGCAACCACCTCGCCCTCTCCTCTCCTGACCCTCATCCACTGGCAGGACAGGAGAGCATCTACCTCACTCTCAACCCTCCTGATCTAGCAGTTGCTGTGATTTTTAGTTTTCATCAATATGTTGATGAGGAAAAAATGTTTCCTCAATATTACATTGTTTTGCATACCCTCACTAGAAAGATTCAAAGATACTAAACCAGAGACTTATATTTTACTTTCTATAAAATATTGATAATATCATTTGTTTTTCTCTTGGGCTTTGCTTTTATTTATTATTTATTTCATGGCATTAAGGCCATTTTGTCAAGGCCTTGGAAAATCTGAAGTTTTTACCCAATTTGCAAGCTACCAATTAGTCTACTATTGATTTATGGATGGTGGCTAAATACAATAGACTCCTTGGTCCAAACCAGTGGGCATTTTTTAGCACACCACAGAAAGCATAGATGGCACTATTATATCTTTGTCAGTTCTTCTGACAACCAATTCTAATAGAGAGGTCAGAACTGGATCCAGCTGTGTGGGAAAATGCAGCAGTTTATG